CTATCTATCTATCTATCTATCCCCACACACCCCCTCTATCTATCTATCTATCTATCCCCACACCTCTCTGCATCAGCTCCAACTCCCCCTCCTCTCTCCCCGGGGCTCGGCAGGCCATGCCCCTGCCCTTCCACATCCCTACGTGGGGCTTCCCCGCCGGACCCAGCTGGACGGACAGACCAAGGGGTCACCGTGACTCGCTGCTCCTAAGCTCAGGGTGGGGAGCAGCTGCACAGAGAGGTGGGGACACGCCGAGCGGACAGGAGGGTCAGGGGAGCGCTTGGTCAGCTGGGAGGTTTAGTCAGTGATGCTCACGGGGTACAAATGGGACGGTTGTGGTGGCAGAGCTGGCTCCTTCCTTCCTTCCTCCTCCCTTCCTTCCTCCTTCCTTCCTTCCCTCCCTCCCTCCTCCCTTCCTCCCTCCTCCTTCCTTCCTCCTTCCTTCCTTCCTCCTTCTTTCCTTCTCTCCCTCCTCCTTCCTTCCTTCCTTCCTCTCCCTCCCTCCCTCCCTCCCCCCCTTCTTTCTTTCTTTCTTTCTTTCTTTCTTTCTTTCTTTCTTTCTTTCGATTTTCGGCTTTGCCCACATGCTCACCTCACCATGCAGCAGCCTGGGGGGCTCTGGAGCTGGAGTCGGGGCCAGGTGCCCTCTCAGGCGAGCCCCCTGCCCACGGGGAGAGGGCTGCTGGACAGGGCTGCCTTTGCCTGTCTAGGTTTCAGCACCTTTGAGCAGGTCCAGAGCCGGAACACAGTCAAAGACGCCATCATTGTGATCCAGACCATCCTCCTGGTCATCTTCGTGAGCGTCCCCCTGCTCCTGCTCCTGGAGAAGGTGAGTCCTGGGCGCCTCCCACGGCGACATTCCAGGAGCTGCGCTGGCCGGGCATCCCACAGCGGCTCAGCCGGACGTGCTGGAGCCCCTTGGCTGGGAGCCGGCGGAAAGGGGGGGAGTCTCCTGCATTGTCTAGGGGGCAGAGGGTTCAAGCCCGGGGCCAGGCCAGGATGTCTCCTTGGCTGGGCCCATCCGACGGCCCCCTGTGGGCGGTACCGACCCAGCAAGGCAAAGGATGGAGGAGGGCGGCTGGCGGGGGGTGGATGGGCTGGTGCCAGATGCCCCCCCCCATCTGGGGGCTTCCTCGTAGCTGTCGGACCTGGCCTGGGATTAGTCCAAAGCCGCCCTGGCCGGGGCTCGTCTGCCCCCCATGCTCCACGTCGCCTCTGAGAGGGGCCCAGTGCTAGCTCCTGGCTCT